AAGTAGTGTAATAGTAGGGGGTATGTCCCAAGATGTGGAACAGTGGGGGACATGTCCCAAAATATGAAATAGTGGGGGATATATCCCATGATGTGAAAGAGTGGGGGACATGTCCCAAAATGTGGAAGAGTGGGGATATGTCAAGATATGAAACAGTGGGGGATATGTCCCAATATGTGAAATCGTGGGGGATATCATAGAATCATTGAGTTGGAAGAGACTTTGTGGGCCATCCAGTCAAACCCCCTGCCAAGAAGCAGGAACATCACATTCAAAGCATCCCTGATAGATGGCCATCCAGCCTCTGTTTAAAAGTCTCCAAAGAAGGAGCCTCCACCGCACTCTGAGGCAGACAGTTCCACTGCTGAACTGCTCTCACAGTCAGGAAGTTCTTCCTCATGTTCAGGTGGAATCTCCTTTCTTGTAGTTTGAAGCCACTGCTCCATTGCATCCTCGTCTCCAGGGCAGCAGGAAACAAGCTTGCTTCCTCTTCCCTATGACTTCACCTCACATCTTGATATATGGGAATCATATCTCCTCTTAGCCTTCTCTTTTTCAGGCTAAACATGCAGCTCTTTAAGCTGCTCCTCATAGGGCTTGTTCTCCGGACCCTTGATCATTTTAGTCACCCTCCTCTGGACACATTCCAGCTTGTCGACATCTCCCTTCAATTGTAGTGCCCAGAATTGGACACAGTATTCCAGATATGGTCTGACCCAGGCAGAATAGAGGGATAGCATGGCTTCCCTGGATCTAGACACTAGACTCCTATTGATGCAGGCCAAAACCCCATTGGCTTTTTTGTATAATAATGAGGGACATGTATAATAGTGAGGGACATGTCCCAAGCATGTAATAGTGGGGATATGTCCCAAGCTATGTAGTGGTGAGGAGCCTGTCCCGAGATGTGAAATAGTGAGGGACATGTCCAAGACGTGAAATAGTGGGGGGTAATTTATTTATTTATTTATTTATTTATATTTCAAACTTATATGCCGCCACTCCCCTAGGGCTCGGAGCAGCTTACAAAAACAAACTAAAATCTAACAACATATCAAAGATCAAAAGCCTGTCGAAACAAATATGTCTTACAAGCCCTGCGGAAGACCTCCAGGATTCCTGAAAGAATGGATAATAATGGATATTTTGACTCTTCTTGGACAGGAAGAATACCACTGAAAGATCCACAAATGCTATGGGGAAATAGTTTTTGGAGAGGTGAAACTATGATCTTGAGTCCATGGATAAAGGCATCCTACTATATTCTATTCAATTACCCACTAATTGGCCACGGACTCCAATTGCTCTCATTTGCCTCTTGTGCTTCAAATCCAAGTTGTCTCACCCTTGTATCTGCTCTTCGTGACTCTTTGGGTTTGACCCTGGAATGGCTTTGCTCTTCTGCTGGTTGGGCCATAGGTGCACCTTCCTTGATCCTAGCTGTGCTTATACAGGACAACCACCCCTATAGTAAGAGATCTATGCCGCCCCCACCTCCTCTCCTGCTAACTGAACCTCCTTCCACGTTGACCTCATTGCTGATGCAATTGCTGGGATGAAAACCTAATAAAAAACATTGGGATGTTGCCCAAAGTAATTGCGGAAATTACCCACCTCTAGGTTAGCCCCAATCGGGAAGCGAGGATGCCAGTGAGACTCATACTTGCCAAAGTTGTGATTAATAGTCTCCTGTGGACAAGGGTGGACAACCAAGCCTTCTGTTCTTGAGCCTGTTCCTTCTCTCAAGACACTTTATTAATTCCAAGAGATATTGTTCCCCTGTGGCTCATGACTCCAGCTAGGGCAAACAGGCTTTGGGGACGGGTTGCTTCCTCCCCATCCTTTTCCAAATGGGATACAACTTTCAAGATGGGGCAACCACAAAGGGCGGGGGTGTGGAGAGACCTCGCGAAATGGTGTAAGGAAAAGGACTGTTCAAGACTGGGAACATTGCCCGGGTGTCTTCTAAAACGAGAAGAATTAGCTTCTTCAGCATTGCCCACATCTAAACATTTGTCCCCTGTGACTATTCATATATCTCTGTCTGTACCACAGTTTGACAACTTCCTTGGGACTTCAGGCCTTCAAAGAGATTGAAAGGGTTAGCAACCAGCAAGCTGGCATTTCACGGGTGGGAGCTAGCATCTGTTTATTTTGGTTGTTTCCAAAGCTGTGACCACAATGAATACACGAAGTTGCCTTTATGATGTTGAGTCAGACCAGTGGTCTATCTATTCCCTCTTCATCCCAATGATATCGTCTAAAGATGGTGGTTCTGATCCTTTGGTCCTCCCAGAAACTCTAGCCAGCCTAGCCAGTAGTCAGGGATTCTGGGAGACAAAGTCCCAAACAACTGGAAAGCTAAAGTATGGAATTGTGGCTCTAAGTTATTGCTACTAAAAGCAATGGCCCATGGACCAGTTCTTGTCCCTAAGACATTGGCTGCCGTTGTCTGGAAAGTTTCTGGGAAAGCAAGAAGCTGTTGTGCGCAATGGACACAAATATGGCATTATTATCTGGCACATTGAGGGGAAAAACGCCCATATCACATGGGATGCACTTTTCTGGATATTGTTGCATAGTGGTGCTCATTCTCCTCCACAAGAAAGGCTTGAAGGTTTCTCGACCAAGTTTGGTCCAGATCCATTATTGTTTGAGTCCACAGTGCTCTTGGGATGAAAGTGAACTACAATTCCCAAACCTAAGGTCAATGCCCACTAGACCCTTCCAGTATTTTCTGTTGGTCATGGGAGTTCTGTTTGACAAGTTTGGTTCAATTCCATCGTTGGTGGAGTTCAGAATGCTCTTTCCTTGTAGGTGAACCATAAATAACACCAGTGCTGCGGCATCTACACTGGCTCCCAATTGAGTATCGTGGTTTGTATAAGATGCTGGTCCTGACCTTTAAAACTTTATATGGCCAGGGTCCATTGTATCTTAGAGACCATCTCTCCTTCTCCCATCATCGGAGGTCACCATGACCATCCCAACGTGATTTGCTCTATATGCCGGGTCCTAGGGAAGTGCACTTGGAAAGCACCAGACGCAGGGACTTCTCTGTTTCTGCCCCTGCCTTATGGAATTCCTTGCCTCCCTATTTGAGAGCCATGCGTGACTTAGGGCATTTTCTCCTAGCACTTAAGACCTGGCTTTTTACTAGAGCATTTGACCCATGTTAATTTTAATATTTGTATGTATGTGTTTTATCCTGTATAATTTCTGCTATGTAAATCGTCTGGAGCATCTCGGATGGAGGGCAATTAATAAGTAATTAAAGATGATGATGATGATGATGATGATGATGATGATGATGATGATAAATCCCAGCAACTACAACTCACACATGACAAAATCAATCCTCCCCCAACCCCATTGGTATTCAAATTAGGTATCGGGTATTTGTGCCACATTTGGTCCAGTGAATGAAAATATCAGATATTTACATTGCGATTCAGAACAGTAGCAAAATGACAGTTATGAAATAGTAATGGACAACACTGGCTCTTCAGCTTGGAATAGAGATGAGCAACAGCCCTCAGAGTTGGACATGACTGCACTTAATGTCAAGGGAAAATCTTTACCTTTACCTATGTATGTGTGTATTCAAAAGTAAGACCCATCTTACTTTTGATTGTAGCTGTAGTGAACTCTTGAGCTGCAAAGGAAAAATCCATATTGACCAGAATATTCATGAAAATAATGTTATGGTTGGGGGTCACCACAACATGAGGAACTGTATTAAGGGCTTCAGGAAGGTTGAGAAACACTGCTTTAGAAAGACTTTAGAAACAAAACACCAGTTCGCCCCAGTTTTAAAACATTTGTTTGTATGGCTTGCACATCCTAGTTGATGGGGCCCATGACTTCCAAATCCCATAGAATGCAGCCAAAGCAGCCAAAGTGGAATCATAGTGCCATATGAAGCCCGTGGGACATACAATGCCCAACTTTCATTGGCAGTTACGACTTCTTCTTGTGTGCCTTCTAGGGCTGGGCAACCACAGAAAAATTTGTTTCTAAACTCGATTCGTTTTTAGGGGGTTTTTGCGTTTCGTTTTTTAAAAGAATTCCAAAGTTTTTCTTTAAAAAAGTTTGAAATTTATGAAATTTCGGAAATTACGAAACAGTTACGAAACAATTACGAATCGATTCGTTAATGGCGGAATACGCTAAAAAAAACCTCCAAATGGGACAGGGGGAACTTCTGAAGCTTCCCTCTCCCTCTGTTGTTGACTGTTGGTGTGATAATTATATATTTTTTTCACTGATAAAACAAACAACAACTATAAAACTTGCACCAGACATGCGGAAATAATAACGAAACGATTTCGAAACGATTTCGAAACGATTTCGAAACAATTACGAAAGAATTACGAAACGAATTGAAAAATTCGTTTCGATTTTTAGTTGCTCCTGAATGGTTCAATATCGCTTCGTTATAAAAAAATAACAAATTAATAACGAATTACGAAATTAACGAACGAAACCGCCCAGCCCTGGTGCCTTCAGTTCATTTCTTTCTTATGACAACAACCCTAAGGCTAACCCTATTGCAGGGCCATGATGCATATTTGTCAGTTCGGATGCCTGGTTTTATCTTCCATATCCCCTGGACACCTTCAGCGCTTCTCTGTAAAGCTGGGGGTGAAGAAGGCAACCCCTGTGGGCTGTCCTCCTCGCCTGCCCATCTCTGCATGAAGCCATAACCTGCTGCAATCTTTGATTCAGCTGGGTGGGTCCTGGCCTTAACCTCCCAGCGACAGATCATTGTGTGCGAGCAAGCGCTGCGAAGAAGAGCGAGACAATAATGGCCAAGACTCCAGCTGAATCCCATAAATCTCCCCTTGAAACCAGTGGGAGCTGGAACAGAACCCATATTGGCATGTTACATGAGCCTACCTCCTCCCATAGCAGAGCTGCCAAGATAGAATTTCCTCCTGTTCTCTCTGTTCCTCCCTCCCTCTCTCTCTCTTCTGACATCTCCTTGTCTTGTTTTTCAGATGGCCTGCCGTGAGATGCCCTCTTGCAAACCTTCCATTTTGTCATCCCTCCCGCTCCACAGCGATTAAGTCAGCCTCGCATTCCAAAGACATGAGTCCAAACCATATTCCTTTTAAATCTCAACAAAGCGGAGGTCTGATATCTTCATTGTGTGCGCCTGCTTGCCTGCCTGCGAGTGCCTGGACTTCTGAACTTTCACCTCCGAGCCAGCTGTAGTATTACGCACTTGCCTGCCTTTTCTCTTCAAGTGGGTCAAGTAGAGGTGGAATGGAAAACCTCTGAAAGCAACAGCAAAGGAAGTTGAAAAGATACTCTCGTGTTCAATTCATGCCGCTGCTCCTGAGTTATATCCGTTAGACCTCCCTGCTTGGGATGCAGTCCTTCACCAATTCCATTCTAGAAGGAAGCAACGAGGAACATTGAGCCATTTTAGTCTCATTGAAAGTCTTTGTAGCTTGGGACCGATTTGGCACAAAACGTCTTCATGGTATTCTTTTGCCACAGAGGTTACAATGTTCAGTTTTATGATAACACACGTACTTCATGGACATTATATGCAAGCATTCTCCTGAGCTGGAATGAATCAATGGTCCATTGCACAACATAGAGCATCCACTGCACAACTGGACACATTGTGCATCAGGACTACAGCCAAAGTGACCCATTATCATGTTGCAAAGTTTGTAAACCAAATGGTATTATTTCTTGATGCATTTCCATTACTTTCTATTACCAAGTCATTGTACTCCTTGATGCATTTCCATTACTTTCTATTACCAGGTCATTGCACTCCTTGATGTATTTCCATTCCTTTCTATTACCAACTCGTAGTACTCCTTGATGCATTACCATTACTTTCGTAGTACACCTTGACACATTTCCATTCCTTTCTATTACCAACTCGTAGTACTTCTTGATGCATTTCCATTAATTTCTATTACCAACTTGTAGTACTCCTTGATGCATTTCCATTCCTTTCTATTACCAGCTCGTAGTACTCCTTGATGCATTTCCATTCCTTTCTATTACCAACTTGTAGTACTCCTTGATGCATTTCCATTCCTTTCTATTACCAGCTCATAGTACTCCTTGATGCATTTCCATTCCTTTCTATTACCAACTCGTAGTACTCCTTGATGCATTTCCATTACTTTCTATTACCAACTCGTAGTACTCCTTGATGCATTTCCATTACTTTCTATTACCAACTCGTAGTACTCCTTGATGCATTTCCTTCCTTTCTATTACCAACTCGTAGTACTCCTTGATGCATTACCATTCCTTTCTATTACCAACTTGTAGTACTCCTTGATGCATTTCCATTCCTTTCTATTACCAGCTCGTAGTACTCCTTGATGCATTTCCATTCCTTTCTATTACCAGCTCGTAGTACTCCGTGATGCATTTCCATTCCTTTCTATTACCAGCTCATAGTACTCCTTGATGCATTTCCATTCTTTTCTATTACCAGCTCGTAGTACTCCTTGATGCATTACTAGTACTTTCTATTACCAACTTGTAGTACTCCTTGATGTATTTCCATTACTTTCTGTTACCAACTCGTAGTACTCCTTGATGGATTTCCATTACTTTCTGTTACCAAGTCATTGGACTCTTTGATGCATTTCCATTACTATTACATTTCTTATGTAATAACAAAATAATGGCTCAAAACCTGGAAAATTTCTACCCAAATGCCTTTAAAAATGCCATAAATTCCTTAAAGAAAACAACTACAAAATGTTATTCATTGTGGCAGTAAAGAAGCTCCATTCCTGTTTGGTGACATCACTTTTGGAATGCAACTTCAAGAGTGAGCCAGAGGCTACATTGCTTCTAAGGCCGGGATGCTTCACAAACGTCACTGTCCCTTTGTGAAGTGGCTACAGTTTTGTGAGGTTGTGAAACTTCTGGGAAGAAGAGGAAGAAAAAGTTGTCATTGTCACTATTGTGAGACCCATCCCATCCCTCCAAGGACTTCCTAGCCTTGAGGACATACCCCCAAAGCCAGTCTTGGCAGAAACAGGTTCCCCTCATATGTTTGCCTTCCTCCTTGAAAATGGTAATGGCATTTTCCTTGGCCTGCGTGTGCCTTTGAGTTTTCTGTCGTCTTATGGCAAGCCCATGCATTTTCTAGGGTTTTCTTAGGCAAATAAGACTCAGATGAGGATTTGCACATCCTTTCCTCTAAAACAGAGCCTGTCATGTCTGCTCTTCATTGGCACTCTCCCATCCAAGTCTTGACAAGATTTGGCACCTTTATCTCGTACCAGCACTTATTGATTCCTGATGCTATCTATTATGATGTAGTACAGACCACTGTCATAGCTCAATGCTATGGAGTCCTGGAAGATGTAGTTTGGTGAGGCACTAGCACCCTTTGGCAGAGAAGACTATACATCTTGTAAACCACAATTCCCAGGATTCCATAACATAACCCTGAGCCATGGCAGCTAAAGTGGTGTCAAATGCATTAATTCTATATTGTTGATACACCCACAATATGGCATAGTAGCTTGTGTGTTGGATTACAATTCGGGAGACTAGAGTTCAAATTCTATTTCAGCCTTGAAAACTTGGGCAAGTCATACTTTCTCAGTCCTTATGATAGGGTCAGCCTGAATTGGAAGCCACTTGAAGTACCTAACAACAATACGAATGAATGGATGAATGAATGGATGAATTGATTCTAAGACCAGCTCAAGATATTTTGTTGTTGGAGGCGAAGAATGAAATGGATGGCATTGGATTGGCAGGCGATGCTTTTATGAGCACATCCTTTGTCACACCTGAAGACAGCAGCTTAATTTATAGACACACAAATCAAGTTCAACAAGGACAAATGTAAGATACCCCACTTAGGCATAAAAATGAACTGCAAAGATACACAACAGGTGATGCCTGGCTCCACAACTGTCCATCTCAGAAAGATCTTGGAGTCTTTGTGGAGAACAAGCTGAACATGAGCCAAATGTGTGAGGCAGCAGCTCAAAAAGCCAATGGGATTCTGGGCTGCATCAAGAGGAGTCAAGTGTTCAGATTGAGGGAAGTCCTGATGCCCCTCTATTCTGCTTTGGTCAGAGCTCTTCATCTGGCATCACTCTGTGTCCAATTCTGGTTATCACAGTTTAAGACTCTAAGCTGAAAGGGGTCCAGAGGAAGAAGAAGACTCAAAGGATCAAAGGTCTGGGATCCATGAATAATCCCTATGAGGAGCATCTTAAATAATGGGCTTGTTTAACTGCAGAAGAGAAAGTGGAGAGGAGACATGAAAACCATGGATAAATATGTGAAAGGCTGTCATAAGGAAGAGGGAGCATATCTTGTTTTCTGCTGCCCTGGAAACTAGGACTTAATGGAGCGATAGGTTCAAATGACAGGAAAGGAGATTCCACCTGAACATTAGGAAGAACTTCCTGGCTGTACAATCTGTTCAGCAGTGGAATTCTTTGCCTCAGACTCTGATGGAAGCTCCTTCTTTGGAAGCTTTTAAACAGAGGCTGGGTGGCCATCTATCAGGGAGCCGTTCAGCAGTGGAACTCTCTGCCCCAGAGTGTGGTGGAGGCTTCTTCTTTGGAAGCTTTTAAACAGAGGCTGGATGGCCATCTGTCAGGAGTAATTTGAATGCAATATTCCTGCTTCTTGGCAGGGGGTTGGATTGGATGGCCCATGAGGTCTCTTCCAACTCTTTGATTCTATGATTCTATGATTCTATGACACTTTGGTTCTGCTTTTCCTGCATGGTACATTGGGGTTGGACTAAATGGCCCATGAGGTCTCTTCCAACTCTATTATTCTATGATTCTATTAAATGCATTTATTCTACAGTGTCAATGCACTCACAGTATGCCATGGAGGCTTGTGTATTGGATCACAATTCTGGATACTAAGGTTCAAACTCCAACTTGGCCTTGATAACTTACTAGGTGAATTTGGGCAAGTCACTCTCTTTGTGTCCTTATAATTGGGTTGCCCTGAGTTGGAAATGAATTGAAGACACCCAACAACAATATGAATTGATGGATGGATGACAGAGCCCCCTGTGGTGTTGAACTCCAGACCAGGAAAAGGCCTCTGACTTTAAACACTACACAGTTGAGTAGGAAAACCTCCCACAGGATGGTAAAACATCCGGGCATCCCCTGGGCAACATAGAAAAATAAAATCAAAGAGTTGGAAGAGACCTCATGGGCCATCCAGTCCAACCCCCTGCCAAGAAGCAGGAATATTGCATTCAAATCACCCCTGACAGATGGCCATCCAGCCTCTGTTTAAAAGCTTCCAAAGAAGGAGCCTCCACCACACTCCGGGGCAGAGAGTTCCACTGCTGAACGGCTCTCACAGTCAGGAAGTTCTTCCTCATGTTCAGATGGAATCTCCTCTCTTGTAGTTTGAAGCCATTGTTCCTCGTCCTAGTCTCCAAGGAAGCAGAAAACAAGCTTGCTCCCTCCTCCCTGTGGCTTCCTCTCACATATTTATACATGGCTATCATATCTCCTCTCAGCCTTCTCTTCTTCAGGCTAAACATGCCCAGCTCCTTAAGCCGCTCCTCATAGGGCTTGTTCTCCAGACCTTGATCATTTTAGTCGCCCTCCTCTGGACAAATTCCAGCTTGTCAATATCTCTCTTCAATTGTGGTGCCCAGAATTGGACACAATATTCCAGGTGTGGTCTAACCAAAGCGGAATAGAGGGGTAACATTACTTCCCTAGTCCTAGACACTATGCTCCTATTGATGCAGGCCAAAATCCCATTGGCTTTTTTTGCCGCTACATCACATTGTTGGCTCATGTTTAACTTGTACACGAGGACTCCAAGATCTTTTTCACACGTACTGCTCTCGAGCCAGGCATTGTCCCCCATTCTGTATCTTTGCATTTCGTTTTTCCTGCCAAAGTGGAGTATCTTGCATTTGTCCCTGTTGAACTTCATTTTGCTAGTTTTGGCCCATCTCTCTAATCTGTCAAGATCGTTTTGAATCCTGCTCCTGTCCTCTGGAGTATTGGCTATCCCTCCCAATTTGGTGTCGTCTGCAAACTTGATGATCCTGCCTTCTAGCCCTTCATCTAAGTCATTAATAAAGATGTCGAACAGGACCGGGCCCAGGACGGAACCCTGCGGCACTCCGCTCGTCACTTCTTTCCAGGATGAAGAGGAAGCATTGGTGAGAATCACCCTCTGGGTTCGTCCATTTAACCAATTACAGATCCACCTCACCGTAGTTTTGCCTAGCCCACATTGGACTAGTTTCCTTGCCAGAAGGTCATGGGGGACCTTGTCGAAGGCCTTACTGAAATCCAGGTATGCTACATCCTTGTAGACAGCCCATTCTCTCACACCAGAAGCAACTTGCAGTTTCTCAAGTTACTCCTAACATGTGAAAAATGGATGGATGACGGTTCCAAGACTAGCCTAAGATATTTTGATGTTGGAGGTGAAGAATGAAATGGATGCCACTCCCATCCCTTGTACGAATGCCAGCTGGATTGGCAGTTGATGCTTTCAGGAGCAAATCCTTTGTCAAACCTGAAGGCAGCAGGTTAATTTATGGAGCACAAAGAAAGTGTCACACCATTCCCTTGTCCTTTAGCACCTTCTCTTTTCAGCACCTGCAAACAATAGCTCCCCGTAGCTTCACGGAAGGGCTAGTCTTCCTAATAGTTGAGCCGAAGAGAGACGTGCATTTGACTTTTCCCATACTAGGCATGTGGGAAGCTCCCACCTCACACAGCCTTTGCAGCTTGGCCATTCAAGGGCCCAGAATGCCTATTTTCAGAAAACACACCACTGGGTTTTATATCAGGCAGCCCATCTTTTATGCCTTTCCTTAGATGGTGTCAAGAGTATGATCCTCATGTCAGTTCCTGTGAATGACAGAAGCAACATAGGCAAAGAGAGTCCAAGCTGAAATGTTGTCCAGCGGCCCTTCCTTAGTAATACAGTCTTTGGTCTCCAAGACCAAGGACTGGAGGGGAGCGTCGGGTGGAAAAATGAAATCCTTTCGTACAGGGAGAGGAAATTCCAGAGCAAACGCACTGACAGACATGTCTTGGAAGTCTGCTGGTTATTTTGGCAAAATCCCAGGCATGTATTTCTCTCTCTCTCTTTCTCTCTCATTTTCCCTCTGGTCCTCATATTCTCCCTTTGGAAAGA